CCGGAGCCCAGGCCCGCAGAGCTCGGCGCCTGCGGTCCTGAGGCTGCTGGGCTTTCTGATGGTCAGGGGGATGGATGCCTGTTCACAGGGCAGACCCCGGGCTTGTCCTCAGACCCGCCGTATCCGGATACCTGGGCATTGGCGGGGCCTAGCAATGCATGTTTATAGAAGCCAGCTGCGGTGGCTGCTTTCAACGTTCAATCTCTGGATAGGAGGCGCATTCTCTTTTAAAATTTGAGATTTAAATGTCTCATCACAGCTGAAACCGGTCTGGCTCAGTGGATAGAGCGTCGGCCTGCGGACTGAAGGGTCCCGGGTTTGATTCTGGTCAAGGGCATGTACCTGGGTTGCAGGCACATCCCCAGTAGGAGGTGTGCAGGAGGTGGCTGATTGATGTTTCTTTCTCATCGATGTTTCTAACTCTCTATCTCTCTCCCTTCCTCTCTGTAAAAAATCAATAAAATATATTTTAAAAAAATAAATAAATGTCTCATCACAAATTAAAACACCAATTAAGAAACATGAAAGTACACAGTGAATACGACTCCTTCCGCCCTGCCCGGTCCCCTTTCACACTGAAGCTTGAGAATCCCTGCCACCATCACCTTCTAACTATCGCTCACAGCTCCCCTTTCCTTTCATCTCCACAAGCCTCACCCCCTCACCCCCAATCCCTACCAAACATCACCTCCACCCTCAGCATCAGATGAAAGGGAAAACCCCGACCTAACACAGAGCCCTCAGGGCACTTAGAATCAAGTTGGGGAGGCCCATCACATACCTGCACAGAATAAGTAACCAGTATTTCTTGTATTCATTTCTTTTCGCTGCAAATTACCACGAATTTAATGGCTTAAAATAGCACACATTTATAATCTTCTAGTTCTGTAGACCCCAAAATGGGTCTCCCTGGGCTAATATGAAAGGGATGGCAGGACTGCCCTCCTGACGGCTCAAGGAGAACATCCGCTTCCATAGCTAACTCTATACGTTCCTTGACTCAAGGCCTCTTTCTTCATCTCCCTTCATCATCTCCTTTGAACTCTGCTTCTGTTGTCACATCTTCTCTCTCCCTGACTCTGCTTCCTCCCTCTTTTCCCTTATAAGGACCCTGGTGATTAAGAATCTGGATAATCCAAAATAATTTTCCCACATCAAAATCCTTAACTTGCCCAACCGGCATGGCTCAGTGGTTGAGCATCAACGTATGAACTAGGAGGGGATGGTTCGGTTGGATTCCTGTCAGAGCACATGCCCAGGTTGAGGACTCGATCCCCAGTAGGGGGCGTGCAGGAGGTGCCCATCAATGATTCTCTCTCATCATTGATGTTTCTATCTCTCCCTTTCTCTTCCTCTCTGAAATCAATAAAAATATATTTTAAAAATCCTTAACTTAATCACATCAACAAAATCTCTTTTGCCATGTAAAGTGATATATTCACAAGTTCTGGGGATTAGGACATGGACATCTTGGGAGAGGCATTATTCTGACTACCACACCCGTCTGAAATTAAACTCCGTAAGCAGGGACTGTGCCACCTTTGTTCACACCAACACCTAGATGAATGCCGGGCACATATTAGCCCCTTAATAAACATTAGTTAAATAAATGAATGCAAGTGAATAAAGGTAAGCATTAAC